CGTTTTTCGTCCCGATTCCATCTTTAACGCTTTTTCGGGCATATTTCCTGCAAAATCAACGACAACTATACCTCTATCATAGATTAATAAATCAAACGAAATGGTGCGCAATCCCACAATAAACACGGTCAAACATCACACTATATCACTCATAATGCATGAAAATATGATGAACATCACCAGGCCCCGCCTAGGCGCTCTAGGCGCTAGGCGTTGGTCGAGCGCCTAGCGAGCGCCTAACGACTTTTAGAACACTGGTTATTAGTACAAAGTTTGAATGGTATGTATTTTCTTAAACTATTTTTTTTTTTAATTCTATTGGAAAAAATAAAAACTGATAAAATTATACTAGTATATATATAAAAGATTTTATACCGTGTGCACAGTGCACGTTAAAAAACGTAATCTTTCTCTTTATTCGTAAAAGCAAAAAACCAAACATCCCATTCCTCCAAATTCCAAAATCTTATAATAGTATATTCAAAGATCCGGTTGGCTTATCAAGTAGATTTTTTCACTGTATTCTCAGCACAGCAGTCCTCTGCAGCAAGCAGATAAACCAAACCCCACACAACCCTTCTCTTTCCTCTGTGCACTCATACCACTCCCCACTTTGATTCTCCATTTCCTCTCTCATTAATAAAAACACTCACAAGTGAACAATCAATCACTCCCAACCAAGAACACCTTCATTACACTACAAACGAACACAGCATCCCGTATTCCGGCCATCCAATGTCAAACCTTAAAGCCGACGATCCTCGTATTCCGGCCATCCAATCAAGAATCCGCGTTGTGCCCAACTTCCCAAAACCAGGTTTTTGTTCTTATTTCACACTTTTTTTTTTTGGCTAATACATGGGTTGTTGCTTTTGTGATGTTTATCATGGGCTTATATGGTTCAAGATTCAATTTTTATCTTGGTTTTCTTGAGCTACATTTACAGAGATTATGTTATTTTTTTTCTGAAACAGGGATAATGTTTCAAGACATAACCACTCTGTTACTGGACCCAAAGGCTTTCAAGGACACCATTGATTTGTTCGTCGAGCGCTATAAGAACAGCAACGTTTCAGTCGTTGCCGGTATACACATATTCTTTCAGTTCTTATCTTCTCGCATTTGATTGTAGTTTGTTTTATTACTCCATAGTTTGATCTTTCCAGCTCACTTTTATTACTCTACATGTGTTGATTTTTGTTTCCACTTTTCCCATTTTTCTGTTATTTCGAGTGATTTCTTTATTCGGAATCATGCATTTCTTTAATCGGATTCATGGTTCAAATTGTTCCTTTCTTTTTTATAGACATAGTGGTGTGGCTATTATTCTCATTTTAATGTGGTGGTGTTTTGAAGTTTTGCCAATAGGACAAATGAGGTTTAGCTATAGAATGGTGGCATATGTGCTTATCGTCAAATCCCATTTGTATGTCGAGCGATAAATTTGTTCGGTGGTTGGTGATGGGTTCTCACCATACACACTGTTTAAGTAAGAATAATAGTCACCATCAGTATAATGGTGTCTGTGTTCATTTTCCTTTGAATTTGCAATATTATGAAGTGTTCCCCATTTCTAATGCATTGGTTCTGAGCCTCTGGGATGGAGGAAAGGAGAACCTTTTGTGCGTATAATAATCTCGAGATGCGATTTTTAACTTAGTGGCATTGGGTTTTCTTGATCCAGCAATGATGAAAATTTTTTGTTGGAAAGATTTTTCTTTTTTGTGAGGTCCATCGTCCACTCAAATCGGTCGCATCTTAATTTTCTTTTTGTCTTCTTCCACTCGTGGTTGGTTTCACTGTTATGTTATGGTTGACTGAAGTTTTATGGTACTATTAACCTTTTTTATACAGTCTTAATAAGTAGCATCTTTCCTTTTACATCTTTTCAGTTTGTCTAGGATGTGTTGTAAGCACAAATTTAATATTTTTGCAGTTCTTAGCAACGTTAAGAAAACAAAAAATGGTTCAAAAGGAATAAATTGATATCTTCGGCAACTTTTATTCACTCATCTAGTTCATTAGCTGCACGATTGGTGCTGTAATTGTGAAAATGGTGCAAAAAAAAATTGAACTTATCTTGCTTTGGATGTAGCATATAATATGGGGCTTTCCTCCTTCATAGTTGTGCCTGTTATTCTGTATTTGTTCTCTTGCATGTGTTTGCATGCTTTAGAACCTTCAGCAAGTTCTATTCCAATTAGAAACTACTTTGTTGATTAACACAAAAATCGAAGAGCCAGTTTTCAATATAAATATTGTTGGATATACTCTAGAGTAACACACGATGATATTATTGTACATTATTAGGGGTCGAGGCTCGTGGTTTCATTTTTGGTCCTCCCATTGCATTAGCAATTGGAGCAAAGTTCGTTCCATTGAGGAAACCAAAGAAACTTCCGGGTAAGTTCTATTATTGACGTTAATCAAAGTACTTGTTGGTGTCCTAGATAGTCTTTTTTATCGAGCATTTCTTGTTATCTTTAGCTTTTTTCAGCTACATTACAATGCAAATGAACAATTGTATTATTGCAGGTGAAGTTATCAGACAAGAGTACGACTTGGAATATGGAAGTGATTGTCTGGAGATGCACGTTGGTGCAGTGGTCCCTGGTGACCGTGCGTTGGTAGTCGATGATCTGATTGCAACTGGAGGCACTCTCTCTGCAGCCATTAACTTATTAGGTATCCAATTCTTGGATAAAACGAATCAAATCAATCGTTTTAAGTGAACTTTGATATGTAATTGTTTGTTTATTTTTTGCATATCTCCCAACTGGGCGGTGTTGCTGAATTTCGTATGGTTTGACTTGAAAATTTTTGTTTACTCAGAACGTGCTGGAGCTGAAGTCCTCGAGTGTGCTTGTGTCATTGAAATACCAGCTTTGAAGGTGTGTTTCTTCAGAGATGTTTTTTTCTTCACCTATTGCAATTAAAGCCATCGACATTACATTAGCTTTATATCCCTTAGTTACTCTTTTTTCTTCTTTCTTTGTTTGTTATAGGGACGCGAACGACTAAATGGCAAGCCAGTTTATGTACTTGTGGACTCCCAATAGTATATTCTTAGATGAGATTATCACTCATTTTCATTTCTGTATTCTCTGAGTGAAAATCTCATTGCTTTCGCTCGGTCTTATTTTACAACTCTTCGGTTTTTATAAACTTCAGACCTGTGTCGACTTGCTTCGTACGATAATGAAGACATTAGCTTTTCATGTTCGTTGTCTCATAGTGGAAGAGGATGAACAGTAGGTAATATAGCACAATCTTGCGTGCTTAAAATGATTAAAAAAAAAACCTACCAAATCAATTACAATTATATAACCTTATTATATATAATAATTAATGAACCTGAATAACATGTTTGTGTGAGATGCAATGTAAGCGTCGACCACCAAACCTAGGCTTTTTTCGAGCAATTTTGTAACTTGACTCTTAAGTTCTATACCCTTAACTACAACAATGTTTAGTGTCTTGTTTTAATGACAATGAATTAATGATCTCTCTAATTATAGGCAAATTTATTCAACAATTTTAAGGTTCATTTTCGGTAACAAAATGCTGATTATTATTCATAATGACATAATTCTTTTAAGCTTTTATTATTATTATTATTATTATTATTAATTTTTTAGTTTGAATCATATTACATTCATGGCCTCATTTTTTTTTATGCAAGATATCAAATTAGTTATCCCTTCATGATCTATAAAATAGACATCCATGTTGAATATAAATAAAAAAAAAAAATAAAAATGATTTTATTCCCTAATAAAAAATGAATTTTTTTGACCTAAAATTATAGTAAGGATTTGCCAAGATATTGGTGTCCACAAAATGATATCCATATTGATTGATTTATTTATTATGTATATAAATGCCTTAATTTTGAAACAATACCAATCCTTTATAAATATGTGGATGATAATCAAGATCTTTTATTTAATTTTGACCATTTTAAAAAAATAAATAAATTAATTAAAATGATCTATACAAATAAGTCATTTTCTCAAGTCATGCTGGTGAAGTCTCTATTTGCAACAAAGGGACTTAATTCGACTACTCAATTTTAACCACTCGATTAGTCATCTTTACCTAACAAACCGGAATAAAATCTCTGACTTGACGCTTTCATAAGTCACTTTCATTTAGCTACTTATTATTGTTCTAAATAAATAATTAATTAATTAAAAACAGTTATATTAATTAAAAATTTTGTCATTTTTAGCAGTTTAATTGGACTAATTTCACTTAAGGATCGGATGTGGTTAGAATTTTCGGAGTGATGTATTTGTTGCTCTCTCGTTTAGTATTACAATAATTTGAATTTACCGAGTGTGATTTCGCTTAGGGCATGGTTGTATGTAAATATATCCGCTTGAAAATTAGTTTTTTTTTTTTTATTAATCAAAGTTAATTTTGAAAAAAATGATATGGTTATTAGGTATTAGTGAGATTTTGAATTTATATTAAAGTAATATTTAAAATAAAATAACTAAATTGATTTTATGTAAAAGTAGAAGAGTGATGGTATGAAGTGATAATCAGTTAAAATTATACGAGTAAAATGAATAGTGAATTAAAATTGTTGTGATATAAATAAGGGTCAATTTGATTGTGGAGCCATATGCAATGCGCAAAAGACGATGAACAGATAATCAGAGAATTTCAGTAGTAAAGATCATAATCTGGTGGAAGTTGGGAAGAATGTTACAAATCTGCGAAGATGTAGCACTAGTCTCAGGGGCATGCCCTGAAGAGGTTCTTAACGGGGATCAACGGTACCTGATGTGTTCATTTAAACAACACCTGTTGTGTGTGTGCTCGCTCCCCACCCTTGGATGATGTTAAGTTAACATTATTAATATTAACTTAACATCATCTAAGGGTGGGGAGTACACACACAACAGGTGATGTGTTCATTTACACAGCACGTACCCTCAACTCTCTTAACGGAGGAGAACTTCGGGAAGAGTTTCTCGGGTCTACATTAATACCCTTTGAAGCATTTTAAAATAGTATCGAGAATAACCGGAAAAAAGGTATTGTAGAGCCAAATGAAAGGAATAAGGAAAACTCCTTACCTGCTTACCAAATTCGAGAGCACCAGTTTGTTAAACTAATTGGTTGATATTATTTAATTATGATAAAATTATTTTTTCAATAAACAAAGCTACCCTTAGTAGCAATTAAATGGCAAGTTAATGATTAAATTAAATGAATCGACAAAAGAATTTACTCTTTTCCTTGAAGATCGAGAAGACAATTAATAGAAAGAACATTTATCAACCCAATTTTCCACAAATTACAACAACTCCACAAGGCAAAAACTATACCCAATAAAGTCCAAAAAAACATCAAACTATCAAAGATAAATTACATAACCTAAAAAAAAAAACACGAAAATATTTGTAGAAAATTGGAGTCGATAAATCAGTAAATCAGATTCACACCCCCAACAAAATTTATTAAACCTGGTAAATTATAATAAAGCAAGGCAGTAACCCGCGCGTGTCGAACACAAGCAGCTCCCCCTTCTCCCCACCCACCGAGTCGTACCCGGCCCGGCCCTGGATCAACGAGTCAATCCCGAGTTGCTTGCATACCCGGCCCGCTATCACCCGGCACACCAGCATCGCCCTCCGCCCCCTACCGCCGCCGGCTTTCTCGTGCGCCGCGCCGCTCCCAGAAAACATGCACACGCCTGCCATCTTCCCACCAGGAAACGCCCACGCGCCGCCCCCGCACTCGTACGCGCCGCCTCCGGCTGTGTCCCCCAGGCAGTAGAACCTCATGACCTCGTTCCCGTCCGCCACGCAACGGGAGTGGTCCTCGGCGGATTCCCCGCCGTCGCCGCTGGCCCGCTGCCGGACCGCCTCCCGGTACTCCTCGAACCGGGCCGTCGTCCGGGCCGAATTCTGCACCTTGAGCACCATCTCGACCCGGCCCGGAAAACCCTTCTCCCCCCAGCTTGTGTGGAAGATTATCTCCACCACATTGCGCGACGGGTGGCCCTTGGGTAGCTCCGCCAGTGACGAGAAGCATGAGCCGGGCTTCGAGCCCGGCTGGAGATTCGGGCCGGGATCAGTGGGTTTTCCGATGGAGGGCCGCCTGAAAGGCGGCGGCGGCTGCGGAGACTTCTTGGGCTTCTCCCTCTTGGCGGCGTCCACGACGTCTTTCAGGCTCTGAACGCCGCTTCTGCAGCTGTGGGAGCGGAGGCCGTGGCGGAGGCTGTGGCTCGGGGGGTCAGAGCGGCGGCGGCGGAGGTGGTGGTGGACGACGTCGTCCGGCGCCTTTGACTTGCACTGTAATGACTTCATCCACCCACTCATATCTTCAATTTTTAAGCCCTTTCAAAACTTCTCTCTCTTTTTCTATGTTGTGTATGTATATTAATGTATGTATGTGAAAGGCGCACGAAAAAATTAATAATACTTGTACTATATTATTATTAATTAATTAATAGTATATGTGTATATATTAATTAAGTATTTAATTTTCAGTAGTAATAATATGCTTGAGCTGGAACAATGAGAAAGGAAGGAGTAGACAAATGATGGCGGGCCGGTATTAAATGAGAGGAAACAAGTATACGTAGTAGGCCTGGTCGTCTTTGTATTGTAATGTGTATGCATGTGCGAGTGAAGTTTACCAAAGTACCCCTATAGATGATGATAATTACCCATGTTGGATTAGAGGTGAAGATGGGAAATTAATGCGGTCCGATTACGGGGGATTTCATCAATGATTGTTATGAGTGGGAGATATATGTAGATAAAGACAGAATTATTAGGGTCAAAAAATAAGTGACAAGGTCTTTTGGGACCAACACAAATTTACGGTAGAGGAGCTTCAAGCCTTCAAGCAAGACAGACTCGTCGAACTCGAGCTCAAGTATGTGTCAAAAAAACCGAGCATTGTTTGATAAAGGCAATGCTCGATTCGATCTGACTCATTAGTTTGCAGCCCTGAACGACATTATTTCCATCGAGATTAGCAAAATACACTAATATTTGTGTATGTTAAAGCGTGCAATTCGACGGTAAAAAATTCTAACGAAGATACTACCTTCATTGGTAGGATCGAATTTTCCACTTTATGTCTAAAGATTAGACATGTACACTTTATTAATATATATACATAAAGTACGTACTGCATCTAAGATGGGCATTTAATTTATACTTCAATTAATATATGTATATATGTATAAAATGAAATTACGATGCATGACATTATAACATTGAATAGTTTGATATGTCTTGTCAGCCTATCTTTTGTACACATAGATATTGGTATTTAATCACCATTAATATTCTTGATGTATTGGTAGGTACGGGGTTTTTTTTTTTTTTTNNNNTTTTTTTTTTTTTTTTTTTCTCATTTATTAAGTAATTTAATTAATACATTATTTAGACTTATATTCAAATGATATGTACTATAATCTATAGTTTAAATTTGGTAATTAATTTTCTGAAAACGCATATGGTTGCTTATTTGAAAAGCAAGAATAAATATTGCTTAATGCATAAATCTCAAACTGACAAAGAGAGTTTTTCAGAGGCCAAATTAATTAAAAGATTGATATAATTTCGTGCTGCCTACTTCTCTGGAAGAGAGGAACATTACTCCTAACCATTTTTATTTATTTATTTTTTGGATATGGAATATATTATTGAATGCTAAATTGTTTACCAACCCGCTTTATCTAACAATTTGTTGACAAAATTTGTCGATCTTTGTAACATTATAATAAAATGTTGATAGATGTTTACTACGTATATTTTCGACAATCTAATTTGTAAATCGTTATATAGTACGACTCTTTTATAAAGATGAGAAATGCTACAGTCCCGTTACGGAATTATACCGTCAAAATTTTAGATTATCATGTAATCATCGTGGATAGTTGATCTAATGGTTATAAACCATGACGGAATGATTCCGTAACGGGATCGTTGAATCTCTCAAATTCATTTATTTTTTCTGTCAAGACAATTTGATTTATTTATTTATTTTATTTTTTTGTCATATATCAATGACTTCACACCAGTTGTGCGTTGAGAAAAATCCCACCAAATATAGAGAAATGTTATGGTCTCGTTACGGTACTGTCTAGTCAGGTGTTTTAACCGTCGGATCATCTATCTTATACTAACTACATGTGTATCTAACGGTTAAAACACCTGACGGGATGGTACCGTAACAATACCATAGTATTTCCCCCAAATATATATATATACAACTTCCATTTGCCATTCAATACACTCCTGAAAATTTCATCCCGCCCACATGCATCATATATGTAGCCTCTTTAACAATAATTTCAACTCTCGTTTTTCAGTTTCTTTTTTTTTTTGTTTTTTTTTTAAATTAATGTTTGAATTCGTTTTGGTAAGTACCATATATATCCCAATATATTATAATTTATAATATTATATATATATATATTGCAATACCAAGGGTGAGCCCCATGTGGGAGGAATTATGAATTTAGGAATCTTTTATAGGAGTTTGCAATCAATTCAAACAGGTGGGATTGTTAAGAAGAATAGAAACCGAATGGAAACTGGCAAAAAAATTTTAAAAAAAAAAATATTGATAATATATTAATATTGCTTTTAAAAATTGCTGAAATTTTTAATTAATCACAAATTTTGACTGGTCATTATGTGCACTAATCACAATACTTTGTGTTTAACTAAAATAGTACTCCCTCCTATTTTTAATAAGTGTCGTTTTGAGAAGTTGCACAATTATGAAGAATATTTTTACCAATAATAACTCTCATTAATAAGAATAGAAATGAATGTTCTGAGACCAGATGAAAAGTGAATATGAAAAGACGTAGCGTATTTATTAGCTAGATGAATGTGATAATGAAAAAATTTGTATAAAATATCCAAAATCGACATTTTTTTTGTTGATAATGACAAAATCACATTTAAAAAGAATATGAGTTATATATATATGGTGTTGATTTAGACAATTTAGGTGGTGACTTTAGTTGTGTGGGGTTGGGTGCGAATGGTGGTGGGTCTTTAATTAGCAGCCTTTGCTCTCACGCTCCTAAAATCTATTGGAGTTCAGTAAAATCCCTATTTTTCTATCCTTTTTAAGTAATTTCTCATTTGTACATTTTCAGACAATATTGTTAATTTTCGCGCCATCTAATGCACATTTTTTGGGAAAACCCATAATGATGCATGCTATATGTGATTGTACCTATTTTTTTTTTTTAATCGGTAAATATAAATTTATAGATTAAAACTGGAGTACAAACAATCGACAAACGATATACAAAAGCAGAGTGGGCAACCACAAGTTCGGCTCCTTACTCGCGGATATTAACTCTAAGAGGACAACCACATGTCGGTTGCTCGCTCAAGTCCCAAAATATGACAGAAAGTCAACCACTAAATTTTCTAAAGAAGGGACAAGCTTATATTCCAATGGCTTTCCTCTCATATTCAACAAGCACGTTCGGATACAACGCAAAAATTGTACGATACACATGAGTTTGGATTTTACGGAATCGACCTGTCACGTTCGGTGATTGTACCCTATTATGGTTTGCACGGGATATGGGGCAATTAGAGCTTCTGTTAACTTTGGGGATAATACTTATTACCTCTAATTACGGGAAGCCCCACAACTTTGTATTAAATTGCTATATGCTCTCTTTACCTAGAGTTCTTTAATGTAAAGAGACTTTCAAGTTTGGCTGGTTGAGATTTATGTACCTCGAACTTCTTAGGCTCATTTAGTTAACGAATTAAGCTGGATCGAGCTTGTTAAGGCTTCATATAAAAGGAGTTTCTACGAAACTCTTAAACTTTTATCATGTATCGTCTCGTTAAAACTTAGACTCGTTAACAAGCTAAGCTTGTTTATCGACTTGTCAATTTAATAATATGAGGTCGGCTAAATTAATTAGGTTTCGAGTTCGAGCTCGAGCATTGAAAACTCAAGCTCATCTCACTTGTTTACGAGTAGCTTATTCTGACTAGTTCAATATGATATGCAACT